CTTGCGGAAAAGGGTTTATTTCAGGATACATTTTACACCATACTTTATCACTGAGAGGAGAGGTCAAAGCCAGAACTACCTTCAGGCAAACCTAGAGGAAGGAGCTGATGCAAATTCATTGAGGAGTGCTTCTTACTGGCTTGCTTTCTCCTATGCTGATTTGCCTACTTTCTTACAACTAGAAGGACTAGCTGCTCAGGCTGGTACCACCTAAGGGATCTGGGCCCTTCCACATCAATCATCAATTAAGGAAATGCACCATTGGCAGGCCACAAGCCAATCTAGGGGGACATTTTTTTTCAGTTGAGGTTCCTCCTTCCAAATGACTCTATATTGTATCAAGTTGACATAAAAGTAGCCAGTACATGTACCTAGGGACTAAGATTATTTCTTAAACATGTTACTTCTAAAATACCTTGAGTATCTAAGTGTGCCAATGTCTCAAAGACTTGCTTAAATACTTATTAACCTATTTATTTTTATTTAGCAAAAAAAGATCAAAACAAAAAATTTAAAACAACAATATTTAATACAAAGAAAAAGCATTCAACTAAATACTGTTAATTCATAGCAGGGATAGAATTTGTGGCTGTCTAAAGGGCTATGTATCTATAAACTTTACTTTCCAACTCACCCAGCTGGGCTTGTAACACTAGTAATATTCACTTGCATCTCTTTCTTTGGCTTTCTGTGTAGTTTAGTGATGAAATCTTTTGGGATCCATCCATCATTCCATGCATTATTTGTTGCAATTAAATTTAAAAATAAATTTAAAAATTGTTAGCAGTATTTCCAGGAAATACCAGAAACAAAAAGAAGACAGTATGAGGAGTTTCTGTAAGCCCTCTAGTTGGGACTTTACCAATATTTTATCTCTTGTTCTCCATCCCATTTGTGTTCTAGCTAAACATGGATTTACTCAATTTTTTTGGAAAGAGTGAAATTAAGAGACTTGTACAATACATTCACTATATGCCAGCCTGGTTCACTGTGGAACTGAAGCATATCATAAAATGAATCAGGTCTCTATAAAGGGACAAAAAAAATAGGATGTGGTCAGAGGATATTGCTTGTTCTTAGAACCTCCCAAAACTTAATTCATCATTAAGCATTTGGTGAATCCCTATGGATTATTTTTACAATTTCTGGAGTTGGAAACAAGACTATGTAAAGGCAAATAAATCAAATATCTCCCAAGTCTATATAGTTGCTTAGTTTGGGGAAGAGCAGACCTTAATCCATTTTAACATATGGAGAAAGTTTTAGAAAATGAATTTGAGATCTTTCAGTTCACAGACAAACATAAAAAGCTCCTCTGTACCTTGTCCATTCCCCTGCTCTGCATTAGAACTCTCTCTGGTCCTCTCAGTCACAATGACTCTTCTTGATAAACTTCACTTCCACTTCCTATCCCCTGGCCTCAGTTTTGTTTGCTTTCTTCTTGAGCTAGCTTTTCTTATCTTTCCACTGTCTGATTTTCAAACTATGCCACTCCTTTGACTTGAACTTGGGTTAGTCAAACACACTCTGAGTTTCCTGGTTGCAAGAAAATTCTCTTGTTTATCATAAATTATAAGGAATTCAGTAATTATTAATTACTATATACATTTCCTCACTATAATTTTAATTCAAATTTCTTGCATTTGCTTTTTGATTGTGAACATCCTTGATTCATTAATTTTTGTTCTTTTTATATTCAGTTCTTAGTATTCTACAGGTTCTAATCTGTTTTAGTTCACCCATATTTTAGCAACATCAGCAAAAAACCCACAATCCCCATCAGAAGATTCCTCCTCATGTTATAGTTCTATTTATTCTTATTCTGGTTGAGTCTTGGTGCTAAGAGAAACAGGGGCTAGCCTTTTACAGTAGTGTTATAATGTCTGCAAGCTGATTTCCAGTAACAGGATCAAGTCATGAATTTCATTCCTAATATTATCCAGGATCCCAAATAATAAAGCTGAGGATGTCATAATGGGTTTGTATATAGAAAAATTGCTTACACAGACTTTATGTTTTATGTACTATTTTTTGAGTACATTCAAAACAAGCATCCCTGTCTTTTCCACAGTGTTTTATCATAGTGAAGAAGACAGCAGGGCCCCTTTCTAGGAGAAAGTCATCTCAGATATAACCATGAACAAAGTACTGGGAAGCTTTGCCTTGTTTTCATGTAATATAAAGTTTCTGTTTCCTTTCCATATTCTTTTCTTCTGAAAGTAAATGAGTTATGTAAAATAATAATAATATGTGGGAATTCCATTGTTGTAGGTATTTACTAGTAATCATGCCATGCTTAAATTATTTGAAATCTGTAGCAAATATGAAATTAAATATTTTATTCCTGGAGAAAAGATAATTTCCATTTTCTAGTCAGTATCAGAGTTAACCATTTTTTAAAAATTCATAGCTGATTATATTATAAAATCAGTGTCCTGGAAATATACTTCATATTCTAACTCTAATTGTCTAGATATTTAGTATTAAAATGTACATAAATTGTTTTGATCCTATAACAGTCACATGTCTGTTTGTGTCTTAAAAATTAAGAATGTCCTTCAAAATGTACAAATTAAGGTTGGTCAATATTAAAGTTAAAAAAAGCAAATTTCAAACTCTGCACATCTGGGTTCATTACATTCCAAGCCAACATTTAAAACAGATTCCGAAGAAAGATTTCAACTATGTTTTCCTTTGTTTTTATAACCATAAAGTATATTCTTTAAGTCAGCATTCTCAAGAATGAGAAATAGAAAAATAACTCTTTCCTAGAGATTAAAGTACTTTCCTTTTTAGAAAAAAATGTATTTTTCTAAATCCTGAGTTTCTATTATCTTACAAGATTATAGCTGATCTTTATGACATTAGCCATTATTTCTGTTCTCTAACCCATAAGTCTATTTTTTTGCTATTTTCAGAAATTAAGTAATTCCAGACTAAAAATAGAAGTATTCTAATAAACGAATGTAGCTATTTCTTTAAGAAAATCTTGCAATGTCATAGATCTCAAAAATTAACTTTGAATGTATACTTTAGGCTACCTGTTCATTTGTAATATATGACTTTCCGTGATTTAGGTGTATGTACAATATATTCCTCAAGGAGTTAGAATATACAATTAAATGAAAATTAGCAGTCATGCCTTGTTATGTAGACCGTAATAACAGTACCGTCACAAATGACCATTAAAGGAAGTGTGTACGTTTGTGTGTTTATGTAGAATTCTCTAACAAATTAAAAGTCACATGCACATCTTTTAGAAGACACTTATATATACACACTAAAATGCATACAAATGATCAAATATGATTTCCCAAACTTTTGCATATGGGGTTAATTCTACTGCTATTCTAAAAATTGACCTGAGACAGGATAGACATTAAGTAAAGGAATGTACATCAGCATTTTCAGAAGCCTTCCTTTTTATGAATTGTATCAATAACCTCGTGGTTACATCATTTTGAGCATTCATCCCTTATCACTAGTCTTTGCAATCTGTTAAAATTGTTTGTAAAGACAGAATATTTCTTAGAGTCAATCCACATGCGTAGATATACAATTACACTATGTTTATGCATTATGAACATATCTATGCTGTCCATTTTATGAATACTTCATTTCAAATATAAGGTTTTACTTTTCTTGACAGAAATCCTTCCTATACAGCCTAGGCTGCTTTTGAAGCCATAGACTTAATGTGTTTGCCCTCCTTCCTCAGATTTATTAGTATCTGAGTCTACTATATATAATGTTACATTCAGCAACTTTAGAATAATATATTTTCCCCAAGAATGTAAAAGAACACAAGGTGGAGGCTGAACCTGAGGAAACTATTTCTAAAAATTAATGTTTGA